CCAGACCCCTCTGCTCCTCCTCTCGGGCTATGTGCTCCATGTGTCTTCCCCTGCTGTCATGACCATCCTGCCCAAATGCCAAGACGATTGAAGACTGATAGGGAAGAGGCCTTGCAATGACACTGATCAGCTGTTGCTATGGACTTGTGTTAGTGCAATTTACTTAAGCTGTCTCTAATTTGATCTTCCTTTACAGTGGGTAGCATTTCACTTCCCCAGACTCTGCCCCTAAGCTCAAGAACCTCCCTGATCATGGAGGCATAAAAGCAGACTTTAACCAGTACGTATCTCTCATATATCACACCTGACAAAGCTTTTGAAATACGCTAAGGTTCCCTGGAATTGCCTGGGAAAAATTGTCCCAAACCAGAAGAAATGCACAGACTAAAGTGCCATTTAGATAGTTAATATGTAGCACTGATCTAGAGATGAACATAGCAGAGCAGGATAGATGTCTGATTACATACCAATTTTTCACATTACACATACGCTATTTGCACTCCAAATGAATTCTCTACTGTTGCTGTTTATTTCTGTTTCTGAACATCCATCTAGGGCTTTACAGTCTGGCATAAAACACGTATAACACAAATAGTCTTACCTTGTACTTCTGGGTAGAGAGACATGTAGAGCAGGCACCACAGTAATGTGTTGGAAGTAGTGTCTGTGCCTGCGATGAAGAGGTCACCAATGATAAAAAATAGGTAGTCTTCATTAAAACTGCTCTCCTTGTTGTTTTTTTCTTCTTCTGCATGGATGAAGTACATATCAATGAAGTCCCTGGGATTTGCTGCATCCAGTGTATCCCTGTGCTGTGCAATTATTTTCTTTAGAAAAGCAGTAATATCTAATTCTGTTTTCCTAAGTTCCCAGAAAGGCCCAAAGGGAAGGTAGTAAAGCCAAGGGCAGATATTGACCAGAATCATATAGCGGTTCACACTTAGCTCTAGGGCACGGGCCATGTTCTTTAGCATTGTCTTGAACTCAATATCTTCATAGTTAAAACGCCTGCCAAAGGCCATGGAACAGATAACATTGGATACTGCATTACGAATTATTGGAAAAGGATTAAATGAATCCTTTCCATGCTTCAGCATTTCCTCCTTTATAAACTTCAGCTCCTCAATGATTTTTGGCTCTAAGCTGAGTCTTCCTACTCCAAAATGACGCAGTGTTGAAAGAGAGAATTTCCTCTGTTGCTTCCAGACAGGGCCGTAAGGTGCAAAAATAACACCTGGAAGAGAAAGGGAGAGTCTGAAACCAAAATGTTCTATTTTCAAGAAGTAGGTAGACAGGCCTCCAACCCAAGCGCCAGAAGGGAAGGGAATGATACATAGCAAATCTATCCCAAGCACTGGGCTAGGAGCTAAAGGAAGAATACAAGGTTCTTTATAATAGCTTTGGGAAATCTGCTTCTCCTTTTCAAAACAAATGAAATGAATGTAACAGTTACATCAATATTTTTATTAGTTTTTTCAAGACACTAATAAACAGAGAAAAGCTACTATAGACTATTACAAATAATTTATTACAAATTTATTTATTACAAATTTATTTATTGCAATTTATTACATCATTATGACAAATGATGACAATTTTGTAGGAACTGCTACTCCAGAACGCATGTTAGCTATAGCCTTTTCTCCTTAATGTCCTGAAACACAAATTCCTTCAGCAAGGCAGAACAGATGATACTAAAACAGAAATTGGTTTGCATTTCATTTCCCCTTCATGTTATACAAAATTCTCAACGCTTTTTGCCTGTGTACCTACTTCTATTACAAGCATAGGTTTTTCTTTAACTTCTAATATGTTCAAGTGTTCAAGACCAGGTTGGATGGGGCTTGGAGCAACCTTGTCTAAGTGAAAGGTGCAGGGAGGTTGAAACTAGGAGATCTTTAAGGCCCCTTCCAATCCAAACCATTCTGTGATTCTGTGATAAACAAAACACAGGATATGCATGCTGCAGACAAACTGGGAAGGTGAAGACGGGTTCAAAGCCACTTGGCAAAACCTGCTTGATTTGCATCTTGGCATTTTTGATGCCTCCAGGCACCTGTTCTGCATGATTGTGTCATTATGAAACACCATTCAAATTAAATGCCTTAGCTTCAAGTATAAACATTGCTCTTTAATGGAATTAACAGACCACACCAAAGATACCACACCATAACAAAATACACAACCTGTTATTTCTAATGTACCCCATGATTAACTTGAGAAAGTTTAGTCATCAGAACATAGGGTAGTTCTGATCTTACTCTTCTGGTAAAGTGATGCCATTTACAGGGTTTTTTCTGGAAATAAGTTACTTTACAAAAGCAACATCAATTCTCCTGTCAGCTGCAAATCTCACTGTTAAATTCAAAAGAAAGCAAGAGAAATGGACACAAGAAATTAGCAATAGAAAGATGAACCATGTTTTGAAACTTAACATTACCTACATTTCATATCCCCTAATGCTAAAAGGAGAATAAAGAAATAAGAAATCTATGGCTAGAAACATAAAGCTTTAGATGTGTGAGATAACTATACCCTGAAAGGTCTGCAATCCCAAAGGTATAAATAGTTCAGCATAACATAAATCTGGTAATCTTTCCAGCCAGATTTTCTGTTTACATTAACTACTCATAGTAGTAACAACAGACTGAAGAATACAAACACATGACCTAGGTTCAAAAGCCCTAAACAAAAATAAGCAGAACATTATGAAGAGTAAGAACAAGCTGAGAATCAGCTGAACTTCATCCTCCCTGCTGAAGACAGTCCTTGAGAAACCTACTGAAATGTCTACTCCCTGGCACTCTAAAAACAGAACTAAAAACTTTCCAGATTCCCTTTCTCAAGTAATGTTTCCTGATAGCACTGGTGTCCTCAAGTAGGGTAGGTGAAAAAACAGGGTTATTTAGGGCTGAATTTGAGCAAGAATCAACTTGGGTTTTCAGGGTTTGTGGCTGGGGTGGGGAAGATGAGGATTTTTATTGGAACGTTATCACCATTTCTATCCCACAGGTATCTCCAAAACAGACTATACATCCACAATCTCTTCCCCTTTCTGTCATTAGGAAAATTAGTTTTAGGATCCAAACAGCAGATCCTGTTGTCTTGAATGTAAAGAAGACACTTGTAGCCCCCCAGGAAGGCTAACACCAACAACAAACCTCCCCAAAATCAGTCTCTCCAGCAGTCCTGCACAGGGCACGGCTGAATGGCATGGTGTCTTCTGAAGCCCAGAATCCCCAGACTGCAAAATACTAATAACTGATTTGCAAACTGGGAAAGAATGAACAGGAGATGGATTAAGGAGGAAGAAGAGCATAAAGTTAGAATAACAAGAGATAAAAAAGAAAATTGCTAACTGGATCACTGCCAGGCAGTAATACTGGAATAGGACTTCTCTGTTTTGGAAGAAAATCTCTGAAAAGTCAACATGCCCAACACGGACAACTGTATTCTTCAAAAAAACCCCAACATCAACAGACGAAAACCCTAAAACAACAACAACAACAAAACAAACCCGAAAAGAATACAATAATGAATTCTGAAGCACCACGAACTCGGAACAACAAGGATTTCATGCTCATTACCGAGGGCTAATTTCTATGAACCGGTAATGAAAACCTGCCAGTACAACCAACAAAACAACACACAGAAAACCAGAATATTTGTTTTATTTCCCCTCCTTCCTCGCCCTTCCCCCCCAGATTTCTTTCTGCTAGCTTTAGCGTTGCTGCAATACTGGAAACAAACACAGAATTGTATTGTCCAATGTCCACATCTGGATGTGCACAAGGCAGGACTATAAAGGCAGACAACCACCCAAGCTCCATCCACTCTACAGATTGAATCTTTGCCACCTCTCACAGCTATAGTACATAAAAATGCTTTACTAGAATTAAAATACCAAAACCTACTTCCACCACCACCCCCAGTCTAGTATTTCTCTTTCTGCACGCATATGTGCAGAACCCTTCAATTAATAACTGACTTCTACCTTCTCCTTTAAGCTTTTACCACACTTGCCATCCAGCTAAGGCTGCTTCCCTTCTTTGCTACTCAGTTGTTGAAATGCAGTATCTGCCATTCCTGTTACTTCTTGCTCTCCCCTGGGCACAATATTTTATCTGCATCTTGCACACAACACAGCCATACACAGTGGAGATAAGCCCTTCTGTCTTCTGTAACAGTTCAGCTCAGGGTAAAGACAAAACTACAACAGAAAATGAAGCTTAAAAGAAAATAGCCCCGTAAGTTTACACCAGGTAGTTTGTTTACAGAATGAAGATGTAGGAATTCAAAATGAACACTTACTGAATCTCAGCAATGTAGTATCCAAGTCACGCAAGCATTCCACTTCTCTTGTTTTCTTCCTACTACAAACACAACTGCCCCTGCCCTTATCTATAGCAAAGTCTCACCAATGAACTCCTGAAACTAAGCACACAAGGCTCCCAGACCAAACTTAAGAGGCCCCCAGTTTGAGTGCTGTAACCCATGCACCTCCTCCATGAACCACGCACATAAAGACTCCTTAGCCCTTAGGGACAATATCTGAAAACCAAGGTATACTGTATCTATACCATAGAAAAAGGAAGAAAGCACAAAACTTTCAGAAAACATGTATAGCTCACCTCTTATCCCACTGGTGATAAGAGCAACTGCCTTCCGAGTAGTACAAATGCAGCACTGCAGAGGTTCAGTCCTCTCCTACATGCTACCACTAAACCCAAGCCAACTTACTGAAAGCAACTGTGACTTCCAGTGCGCTGGGGCCAGGCAGGCCCACACTGCCCGTATTCCCTGATCCTTCCCTCTGTGTAGTCAGCATATGCTATCCCTGCAGTTAATTCTACAGTAGTGTCACACTTGCAGCAATTCAACTGGTTGCACAAGTTAACATAAGCAATACATAACAGCTCAGCAGGTTTTACGGACAACTGGGCAACCCTCACATAACAGTCCGTTTCTGAGTGCAGCTATGGTGACCTCCCAAATAAAACTAAATGTAAGGCAATGTAAGGTCCCTGCCACCACACAGCACAATGCAGACAGGTAAAGACCCAGCACTTGGCTGCAGAACGCTCCCTCCAGACTACAGGCTCCTGACACTTTCAACTCCCCTGGAGCATCCACAAGAAGCACTGACACTTTCAACTCCCCTGGAGCATCCACAGAAGCTGCTAACTGCCCTATCCACTCTTGTGTCACTGTGTTCAGAAAAGCCTAACAGAGACCTGTCTGCAGAGAACAAGAAACATAAAAAATTCACAGCATTCCAGGAAAAAGAAATACACCACGAGCCTTAACATACGGTTTTACAGCACTGCTATATTAATCTAATATCTAACTGCTCTTCCCCTTTCACAGAATCCTAGAATGGTATGGGCTGGAGGGGACCTTAAGCTCATTTTGTTCCAGCCCCCTGCTACAGACAGGAACACCTTCCACTACACCAGGTTGCTCAAAATCCTGTCCAACATGACCCACTGACAGGGGTGAAAGCAGTGATGTGGGGCATAACAACTTCCTTGTTCAACCTGTTCCAGTGTTCACAGTAAAGAAATTCTTATACCTAACATAAATCTCCCCTGCTTAAGTTTGAATCCCAAGTTTAAGTTTTCTTAAAGTTCCTGCTAAATGGACCTAAAAATATTTACACACTATTACAACAATTATTATAACATGCCAATAAGATCTGTCTCCAACCAATATAATTAAACCAATATAATTAATAATTTATTTTTTCATCCTTTAAACCAATTACACCAATGGTACCTGATTGCCTTTTAATAAACACAATCTAAGTCGCTCGCTTTCCTTTTATCCTGATTGGGGTAATCCTGGTACAGTAAAAAATTGAAGATAAAAGTTTCAGGCACTTAACCAATAGATTCCCCAGGCCTTGAAAAAAGAAGGTAAACAAGTTTCATAACACAGTACATTAACAGGCCTCCTGGGCTGTCTCTCTTAAACTGAAAGCAGAAGGCAGTTTTCCACAAACACTGAGACCTGTAATGAACCTAAAGGCTAAACGTGAAAAAGTATTAACTGTGCATTTGCCATCATGTGTTTGAACTCCTCATTGCCCTTTTTTCGTGAAAGCTAGTGAACTCTCATTCGACCTGTTAAAAAAAAAAAAAAAACACAAAAAAAAACAACAACAAAAACCCAACAAAAAGCAACAAAACAAATATGCTCAGTAAGTTCTGACAAGCAGAATAACACACGTGCAAACGTCTCAGTAGCCTGCATGCAGGCAGCGCAGACTGCACAGCTATCGGACTCCAAGAAGCCTGATCTTAGCCACCGTTACCTTGGCAAGCGCTGGGGAACCGCACAGTTTCATACCGCTGCCAAAGTATTCGAAACGTCTCCTCCTGACACAGCGACAATCAGAAAGCCCCGAGGTGACAGACTAGCTGTCCCCTGAATGCCCGCTCAAACTACATCCCTTCACCGCAAGCAAAGGTAAAGGGATCAGGCGTTTCAGTGTGGCGCTGTCGCCTGCGGTGCGCACCACCGCGCTGCGAAGCTCGCACGGATGCTACACGTTCATCTAAAGGTCGGGAGGGGAGGGCGCGTTTCCCTCTGCAGGCTGTCACCATCAGCGAAAAGCAAGCGGACGGTTCAGCCTGCAACTCGCGAAAGTCAACTTTCCATTGCTTTAGTAAATGATTTATTTT